TTCGTGACGTATTCCTGCAATATTATAAAGATAAAATTAATTTCTACATATTAATATTAAAAATATATAAATTATATTCAAATATATAAAATTAATATATTTTATAGTTACAAATAAATTTGGTCAACAGTATCAATGATTTGAATATTCAGTAGAATTTTATCAATACAATGGTATGTGTCTACATAGACTACAACCTACTCAATGTTAGAATTTCCTGGAAATGTTTAATTACAAAAGCTGTTTTGTAAGCATTGGCTATAAAATGAAAGACTATTGCTTCTTTTGTTACAAAACTGAATGAATAAATTGAAAGGAATGATGCAAATCTGTGAAATTATTGTCTTATTTTTTCACAATGAATAATGCAAATTCAATGCATATATGTTTATAATTACATAAAATAGCCTCATAAAACAATTAAGTTTTAATTTCAATTTAGTTCATGAATTTCTTTTGAATGTGGATTTAAAATAATTTTTTGTATTAGTAAAATATTTTAAAGTTTATATGAATAAGTCCTATTTATTCCTTCAGTAAAGAATCTTTAGTAGAAATTACATGCCAAGTTACAAGTGAATTCTTTCATATTACCTATACTAAGTGTTACTTAAAATACATTAACCTTGGTTGTTACACAATTTTAAAAGGACAAGTGTAACTCTCTAGAGTGGATCTTTGAGGGAGTAAAAGATATTCTTATTCTCTAAATAATATTTCTACAAATTATTAAGTAATATTAACTGATGATCTGAAACACTATAACAAATACTAAATTTTAAGAATGAAACAGATGAGAATATTTGTTTTGAATAAAATATTTAGAGAACACTGTTTAAGGTTTTTTGAATAGGTGTTTCATGTATTACATAAGAAAGAATTTCTTAAATTTCAATCTTATAAAAAGAACAAATTTTTTTTTGAAGCACTGAAAATGTATGTAGATGCATATATTTATACAGACAATAGTAGTGGTCAATAAACTCAATGCCAGAGATGCAGAGATGGGTAGTGAAGCAAAAAATAAAAAGAGCTATAATGAGGAAACAGCTGCAATATGAATTTAACTCTCTATTATAGGCAGAAGGCCAAACTACAACTAATTAATTTTAATTCGAAAAATTGCAATTATAATTGCGAAAATAATTATCGTTCAATTTAAAGTACATTATTCTAATTCTGAAGTTTTATCTCCATAAGAAAATCTACACTTAAAATCCTCAAGTAAAATGCCAGATATAAATGAAAGTTGTGAAAGTCTCCAGTTGATATCCTATAAAGATCTTGCAGGTGGTGTATTCTTTTTCTTTATATTCTTGGCTTGAATGTTTGAAGGTCGAGAACAAATCCAAATAATTGTCCTTCGAAAGTGGTGAATTAGATCAACTGTGCCAAGGACTACAACTTTTTCTACTTTTAAAATGTCTGTTCTCGGTTTCTATCCACTTTATATCATTTCTATCCGACATAAGTAACTGCTGTTCCAAATATAATTAATTAACATTCCCATAATATCTATCTAGAAAAATAATCCATTTCAATTGACTAGATACATGAGACTTGTTAAAAGTGAAGAGAAATAGTCGAAATGTATTTTGTTTTTTATTTACTAATAACGAAATTCAATAATGTAACATCCGTAAATGAAATATCTATTTATATATATGTATATATATAGTGACACTTTACGATTTATAAAACAAGTATTGTTAGAGTTGGCAAACTGATCTGCACGTGAACGAAATGTCAAGCATTTCAGTTGACATTGAAAATAAGAAAGGACGGATATCGGCATTAAAATTAATCGAAATTTCCGAAAACTTCGGTTCGTAATTTACAACTTTATCAATTTATAAAAATATTTAATGGCATCATTTTATTTCCGCTCTATCAGCTGATTTTGTGTCTTTCATTCACGAAAAAGCAAATTGGAGTCGTCATGGTAACGCAGCGAGCGAACGTTAGTTCAGGTAGAAAAGCGCCAGTAAAGTGTGTTGTCTGCTCCCATAGCAACAGTTACGAGCTTTGGGTGTTGTACCTTTTACTACAATGTCTAACGAAACAAATTACAAAATATCACTTTCTTGCCAAAAATATAAAATAATAACACATTTACACTTTTGTTAAACATATTTGATGCGTTTTTAACGGAGACACACGCTAATTTCGCATTCTGTGGAGACCTACTTACTTACATATAACAGGTTTATAAAAGTTTCGAAACGAGAGAAAAGAGCCTTAAGCTATAAATATAAGAACTGTTATCTAAATTCAGTACTCGTAACAGCCTGCTTGTCCCCAAAAGTGGAGAAAGCATACTCAACAAACTTAAACGTCATTCGTGACGTATTCCTGCATTGCTTACATCTGTTTTTCCTTACAATACAGCTGTTTGACGTAACAGCCTATAATCGTTTTACTGGCTTTACAAGAAACAGCTTACAGATCTACAGTTTCAGACAGTTTTAATTAGTATATAAACTAAATTTGCTTAATTACATAATATATATATGCATATAATATTTTTATTCGATGATGCTATTTTTATTATTTTAATGATAAGAACATATATATATATATAAATACATATGCGTTATCAAATATGATAAATGATAAATATGAAGCGAACAGAATTGCTTGCTTCAAAATGTTAATATAAATAGGATTATATCAGTGATGAATGTCATCCTTAGATGACCTATTTTAGATACACAAAGATGTTTTATGAATTATAATCCATGAACTATACATAGCGGTTAACAGTAAAATAATAATGAGATATATTATATAATTTATAAATGTATTGTCATTGAAGTAATACATTCTATACACTTACTAATGTACGCATAATAATAATTATATATAAAGAATCTAAGGGAGAAAAAATGATTTAAAGTTTAAATATATTTTAAACATTTAAAAAAAAAATTGTTATATTGATTAAGTATTGATCTAATTTGCAATTTTAATATTAAATATCAACTATGATAAAATTAATTAAAAGATGTATTAACATTTACAGTATTTCTAAGAAAAAAAATAGTATTTTTAAAGTATTATATTTAGGTTAATAAATTAATATTTAATTCCAGTTTATATAAATAACAATTAACTAAAAAGAAAATAAATTTAACTCATCTAAACTTTCTTAAACAATAAGTAAGAATTACTAATTAACTATACTGTATATTCTCATATATAATAATAAGCTTCTTAAAAATTGAATTTTATATCTATTAAGTAAATAATTATTTTATTTTTGGCATTAATTGCTAGCATATACTTTACAGAGAAGAACCATTATTCAATAAAGTCTGAACAAAACCTGTTTTTTGACATTAGACCAGACCTATAACGATTGTATAAAGTTCATCCATTTTAGCTTGCATTGGCGAATGCTAAACCATCCCAGAAGTGAAAAAAATATACACTTTGAAAGAATCGCTGGAATAAGTATCTAAAAAAAATGCCGATCGATTGAAAGCAACAAATAGCTTCTCCCTCGTATGTGATCAGCTGTTTTAGTCATTCGATGAAAAGTACAAGCGTATGGAGAGATTTAAAAATCATATAATAGAAAATGAAGCTTACCTCAATACTACAATACTCTGAATTGGATTAGCAAACGAGTGAGAAAATCGGATCGAACACAACACACCTTAACCACTCATACCAACACAAACCGACAATATGATTCTCACTTTGTTTACGTTTCGTTATGACGTCACCTCCACAGGAAACTCAGTAGCTGATTGGTTTTTGCAAAATGATCTCACCGTCCAATCAACTTTCGCTAATGGAATGACGTAAATGCCGTTTTTTTTAACACTCGGTTTCCTTTAGCAGTTATTCTATAATCAAGTTTTTCTTTGTAATTGTGTAGAATAAAAAGGGAAAAGTAGCCTTTGATTAACTAATCAGGAAAGTTTTTCTATCAATTTTAGCTATTATATTTTTTAAAATACATTTTCTACTACATAAAATTATTTCGTTTCTATTAATTCGCTTGTAATCAACGCATCCTATTAAAGAATTTTATATAAGTCGAAACCTTAGGTATTGAATTAACATAATTTTATTACTGAAAAAATTGGTATTTTAATCTCTAGAGTATGCAGAAATGATATTTTGTCACGTTATCCTATCGATTTTATAAACACTGCTATCAGAAAACAATATTTTTGCGTTCTGTGATGACATTTGGATTATTTGTTGTCTTTAAAAATGCCAAAAGTATTTATTATACCAACTCCGTAGAAACTGTAAATGTAATAAATTGAAATTTATGTTTCTTAGAAACCGTACATTTTTATTATAAAATGTTTATGGACCTTCGTTTTATCTAAAAGATTCATAAATATTTAGCATAAATTTGCTTTATCTAGAAATAGACTTTTTGATTTTTCCATTTAGAAAATCAATAATCTAACCCACATTTATCCAATTGATTTTTCTTTATTAAATTGGTTTTTTTATTTTAATCAAGACAAATAAGAAAAAATTATCCATATTATTATTATTTTAAAATAATGAAATTATCCAAACAAGAAAAAAGTATTTATTTAAACAATAAACCGATAGAAGTAGTGAATCAAATAAAATATTTGGGAATATATTTTAATTGGAATGGCCAATTTCACTACCAATTGACTCAGCTTAATAGTAAAATAAATTTACTCATAAACAATGTTATTTATTTATCATCAAAGTTAAGGATTTCCAATCTAAAAACTCATATGAAAATGTTTAACTCTTTTATTGCTCCAGTATTTTTTTACGCTAGTCCTGTATGGGCACTAGATTATTACCAACATTTCGAAAAATTTCAAATTATTTTTTTACGTAAAATACTTCAAGTCGAACGTACGGTACCAGGATATGCAGTCAGATCAGAGTCAAATCGTTATCAACTTTTTCCATTTTTTTTGAAACGTTTATTTAAATTTTATCTCCGAATACTAAATACTGAAGACGACAACATAAAATTTCTATTTCAATTAACAACCAATCAAAATGAAGTTAAATCAATTGATAATGTCTCATGGTATCAGAAATTTATTAAAATAATACAAGCTTATGGAATATCAGTAATGTTGCTTAACTCATCAGAAGATAATTGCAAATATGCTTATACTTTAATGATGGAATCGGCCTTATCTCAATCTATTGTCAAGGACCAAGATGCTATTTTAAACTCAACATATCACTATTGGTATAAGAATATATTAATTTTTCCATCAAAAATGAATATTATTATGATAAATATAAATTTAAATATTAAAAGAACGATGATCCAAATTCGACTTAATTATAAATCTTTATTGATAGATAATTATTATATTGATTTTTCCAAAAAATGTTATTGGTGTAAATCCGAAATCTTTAATATTTACCATATTTTTACTGAATGTCCAAAGATCCTAGAAGCGCAATATAAATATAGAATAAAAGAGATTTTTAATTCAAAACATGAAGAAAATTTTAGATCTAGCTTAAATAGTATTTCTTTAAGTCAAATGTATAATATTCATAATTTTTTTGTATATATTATAAAAATGTTAAAACAAGATGCTGTGAAGTGAACAAATTATATGTAATATACAATTAGTTTATTGTTGTATTAACAAATATTTAATAATATACGAATATGTATTAACCTTTCTGTATGTTTATAATATTTATTGTAAACCCCCTGTAACAAGATTTTTTTCTTAATACAATAAACAATTAATTAAT